CATAAAAAAATAATAGTTTTGAAAGTAATTAAGTTTGGTTTTTGGTGCATGAAACTCCTAACTTAGGACAAAAGCTATTCAGGGTTTTTCTTGTCTCTGAGTACTAAGTCGAGTTTAAAATATTACCAAATATAACCAATAGAATGAATATTGCTGATATAATTACATCGTTAATTAATATTATAAGCATCTCCAATATGCTCCGAGGCAAAATGACGCAGGCATCATAAATGTTGTGATGCACCGGTTGTTTAAACTAATAAGAACTTTTTCAAGAAAATTACAAATGAGCTTTGGTATAATCTATATATATATAACAAAAATCTCTCTCTCTCTCTCTCTCTCTCTCTCTCTATATATATATATATATATATATATGACGAAATAAAGAATTTGTGTGTGCATGCCTGTCTATATACCGGATTGCGAGTACACCGTTGGCACTAAAAGTGAAACATTCATCGTGAAACTAAGCGAGTACAATAGTAAACAATTTATGGAAGGCCAGATTTGCACTTTTTTATTTAAAAGGTGTTTCAAAAAATGGAATTTTTTATAAAAGTCGAAATGCAATTAATAATTTTAATAGGTATCAAATATACTCTATATAGGTCTAAAGTATTGAGTACATTTAGTGTCTATTAAATCTACATCTATACTGCATATTTGTATGATGGATAGTGAGGAAATAGTGTTTTTTACGGCGGTTTATAGGTTTTTTACGGACTATATATAATTTTATAAGTTCGAGGGAAAACTGCTTGATGATGGTAAATTTTAAATACAATTTTGAAATGCCGGGAACAAGAGCATTATGTCAGATGATACTGAATAATGCTGAATAATAATAATTATAATAATAATAATAATAATATATATATCACATAATATACACATATAGGCAACACCTTTCTCGTATTTTACAGTACAGACGCCGCACTGGCATTGGCGTACATAGACTTAGGAGCACCCCCCTGAAAGATTTATAAATGCGCCCTATCTTAGACTTAACAAAAAGTTTTTAAAATTATAATATGAAACAAGAACACTATGAAGAGACATTTGGTTATTTATAATCATTCAATTTATTTTAATCTATATATCTCAATTATAATTATTTTAATATTAATTAAGAAGGAATTAATGATGACAATGTAAGGGGGAATTTAGAAATAGTACTAAATTTGAACATGGTTTAAACTTACAGACGTACCACATTGAAATGAAATTTATCTTAATAATACGAGAAATTAATTAACTCTTATTCAAATTTTAGTTAAGGGTTATTTTAATTTGTAATCATAATTTTCAAGATATTTAAAAATAATGTTACAGTATTTATCTTTTTCTGATTAGTTATGTGAGATATATAAATAACTTGAAAATTAATTGAATAACATGATGATTGAAAAAAAAAACACAATGATGTTGTCCCTCTTCTAAAGCAATACCTCGCATGTGATCATTAGTTTCATAATGCTTAAAAAAAATTTTTTTTAAAAAAAGCATTTGAACGAATGAAGTATGCATTTCACAACAATATCACTTTTATACTAATTTTGTACATCCCTTTGAAATTTATAAGGTAAGGTTAAAAATAATTTTTTTTGAGGGGGGGGGGCAGTTAGGAGTGAAATAGACTTCTCTCAATTTATGGATTCTAACACGCCTATATCAGTTCTTTAGAACTCGGGGCTGAGGGGTCTGCGTCGGAGAAATTTTGGAGTCTTAAGAAACTGCTATAAGTTATTAAGAGCTATATTAAAGGGAATAAAAAAAGATTTTGATGTCTAAGAGATTATTTAGACAAATATTTATTATCATGTTCCCATTAATATCAAGCAAAATAAATCTTATTGTAATGATTTAAATTATAACTCTCATCACATGCTTAATTTATCTCACTTGAACCCATGTTTTATAGAAAAAGAATGTTAAGCTATTGAACAGAATCAGCATTAATAAATAAATAAGGATACACATATGTGACATTTACAATAGTTTTTTAAATATTCACTACAATATTTACTTGGATTAAGACGATACACAAAATGTTTGCAGCCGTTTTCTCATACTAATGGTTTTTCAGTATTATGCAAAAATGTTTCCGTTAAAATTTATCTCCTCAATTGTAAGGTTATAAGATAAATTGTACTTTCAATTTTTTATATTTTATAACCGTCGTTGAACAGCCGACCCAGGTTTTTTTTTTTGATTTACAGCTACTTATGTTCGACTTCGTAACCTTGAAATTTTGAACCCAATCCAGAAGACAAGGGAGCTCCTGAATTAAGTATTGTTAGAGAAGTGCCTTCGTGGAGGACTGTTTTCTGGAACTAACCAGCATTTACGTTGCATGGAGAAGAAAACCACGAAAGCCTCTCACGGTTAACCTGATGGCAAGGTGACTCTAACCCATAATCTGTCTACCACTGAGGAAATTTTACGTCAGCATTTTGTCGGTAAAAGCCGGATGGGGGCCGTCGTTGGGGTTCATCTCATTTATCCCTATCTAATTGCACTTATAAACAAACGATGCATAGAATTGAAAGGCAAAATTATTAAATTTCGCTATCATTAAAAACAATGGCTCCATTCTAAAACCTAAGTTTTCAAACAATGAAGAAAATTGTTAGCATTATTTATACAAGGAGCTTCTTATGAAGCATTTCTTGAAATGTGGCAAACGCTATTAGGTTAATTTCTAAAATGAATAATAAACATTTTAAAACACAAGCATGAAATAAAACAATTTTCAGAATAATCTAAAATGTGCCTTATTTATTATTATTATTAATAATAATAATATACAATTGGGGTGCATTTTAATTAAAAAAAATAGCAATTGGATGGCGATTGTCAGATAATTTTGTAAATTGGTATTTTTTATATTTAGAGATTTAGTAACCGGCAGTGACCTTTAAATTTGCTTTATAGTTGGACATGCTTTATTTATTTATTTATTTATTTTTTTTGAATTAATGATAATCTTATGATTCGTCAGTATAATTCGGCGTTGGAATTGAGCTGTGAAGAATAAATCGGAATCGAATATTTTACCAATCGAATACACAACTCCGACTTAGATGTCCCGCATTGTTCTTTTCTGTGCATCTGAATTCAGTTACATTCTGTTAGTACGGCTGTGCAATTGAAAAATCAACGCTCCACAATAGAATTTGAGTAAAGCGGCAACTATTTTCTTTCCATTGTCAACGCTATAAATCTGAAATATAATTTCAGAAAACTGATAAAACAGACTTTGCTTTTGAAAATCATTTTCTTGAAAATTCTAGTGTACATTTGTGAAGGCGACACCAAGAAGTCAAATTTAAGATGCAAATGTAAAAAGAAAGCATAAAATATTGATTATAAGAACTGGGTGGGGTGACGGTAAAAATTTCGCAGACATTATCAGTTATTTCGTAACAGGAGTCGGTGAACGACGAACCAAAGGCAGCTAAATACTGTTTTAAAAACGTAATTTCTAAAATTGTGTCATAAACTATTTTTTCAGAAAGCTTTTATTATTTTCATTAATATTTTTGAAATAAAAAGTAATTATAATACAAAATTTCCCGCATATTTTTGGAATGATGTTTAAGATAAACGTTAATAATGACCAATACAACGAACATGAACAACTACATAAAAAAGAAAAAATGCATTTTTTACTGATTCCTTTTTATGTCCAATCAAAGGCGGAAAAGAATAAAAATCGTTAAGAAAATAAAACTAAAAAGAAATTATTTATAAAGAAAAATAAAGAAGAATTTCAGAGGGAAAAAAATAGTGTTATGAAGCATCAGAGCTTTACGTTTTTATACGGTAGATGCCTCATTTACATGTATGTCAAGGACCTTTCTTTTTGCATTTTTTAATAGAAATTGAATATATTCTAAACAAACGAACTATAGGGTGTCTCAAAAGACAAGTATATTTTAAATACAGGTTTGAGCTTTATTTTATTATTTTTTAATATTTCTTATCATTTTTATCTTATTTTCTATTTAACAACTGGCATTCATTTTGCTCTAAAACTGTTTGAACCTCATTGTGCCACTTTAAAAAGTATATAATTCCCTAAAAATAATTAGCATTTTGATTACAAGGTATTTTGATACAAAAAGAGAAATAAAGCTTAATTACATGATATATTTTTTATTTTGTTGAAGTTCTACTATGTGTTTGTCACTAAATTAACAGCTAAAAATTTTATTTTAAAAGTTACTTAATACTTTAATAAGGTCATTTTTAGGAAGTCGTAATAGCCTAACCTTTATTTTATCTGCAATTTTCGCTTAATGTCCGAAAATAGTGCTGATCTGTTTACATACATTCTGCTGCATTCATTGATAAATAAGACCTTGCGAAAGAGAGGTGGAAATTAATTTTGCATTTCTTTAAAAAGAAAGATCTTATCTTAGAGAGAAAACCTACCAAAATTAAAAAAAATAATAATTATGATAAAAATTAATGTTTTAAACTCATCAAAAATTTAAGTTTTCCGAATTCCTAATAAATAATTAAGGCATGCTTTGTTTTTGTTAATCACATGTGGTCCTTGTGCAATTGTCACCTTTGCTATCTCTTATCATAGACCCGGCAGTTTTGTTGTATTTTAAAAGCTCACAAGAAATGAATAATAGTATGCACATGAAATCGTCTGTCATTCTTAAAATATCCTTTTTCAGCAGATAATTTAATATAGAAGAAAATCTCTTGCAGTTCTAAAAAATTCTTTTTTAGCAGAGCATCGAAAATGAAAGGAAATCATCTGCGATTCTTATAATATTCTGGCTCAGCAGAGAATTCATTATGAAAGAAAAGCTCTTGCAGTTCTAAAAAATTCTTTTTCAGCAGAGCAACGAATATGAAAAGAAATCGTCTGCAATTCTTAAAATATCTTTTCGCAGAATAAAATGTTTTGTTCCTCAGAATATCCAGCAATAAAAAGTTTAGGATTTTAATGAATGGAAATAAAGGAAGGATCTACTCACGTGGTTTGGAGAAAGTGAGGACTTTTTCGGCTGCAATGTAGAAATCTTCATCCTCCCCATATTCCGGGCCGGGTACAAAGGCAGCCGGTGAATCTGCCTGCATACTGTAGTGATCCAACAGGTTGTCTAAAGGCGGTATGTGGGGGAGATTCTTGAGAGTGACATTGGGAGCTTCCGTCATCCCCAACTGGCTCAGAATCTGGCTCTTAATGGCCTCGAGCCGAATCGCCTTCCGCTCCTGCTTATCCCCACACCGGCTGCAGTTGGCGAAATCTTCGGACAGCAGCTGCTCAGCCTCTTCATCGCTGCTCACATGCTGCAGTGTGTTGCCGGATACGCCGCCACTGAAGAAGAACAACACGTGGGAGAACAACAGTAGCCACTGAATAATCCAAAAGGAGGCACTCATCTTGAACACCAGATTCTTAATGAGGGGAGAAAAAAAAGGGAGAAGATTTTTGATAAGGGTGAGAGAGGGAAGCAATAAAAAAAAGAAAGAAAGAAAAAAAAGAAGAGATTATTATTATTTTTTTATTTTATTTTTATCAGCTGGTGCGGTGTAACGGGTGATGAAGTTTGTTAGAGAAATGCGGACACACACTCTACCGTTTTTATAGGGAATTTGTTACTAGTAAGAGAAAGACACGCCCACAAATCCCCTGATTGGCAGAGGACACTCGCGTTGCTTAGCGATTACACCTACGAATCCCACCTCTCTCTCGCCTTTATTGCTTTCCCGCGAAAATCTCTCAATAACTTTTCACGGGAATAGAATAAAAATTTCGAAATTATCACTCCCGGGGCATTCTATAAATTTCACTTCTTAAAAATAGCTCCCCTACCCCTTCAATATAGTAAAAAAAAAGATTTTTTGAAACAATATTTGTATTAACCAATTTCTTTTGAAAATGAACTAAAAATTGGAAGAAAAAAAAATTTCAGAGTAATACCATTTTTTTTTTTTTTTTTTTGACCGTATAGGATATTTGGGAACAAGCTACGTCAAAAACATATTTTATTGCCCATGACAACAACAAAAAGAAACGGAAAATAGGGTGCAAAAATAAGTATGGATACGGGAAAAAAATTATTTTTTTAATGTTCTTCGATAATTCACAGATTTGACACAAAGTATCCACTTTGCAAATAGATTATGAATTGGTGTTAATTGTGCTGATGGTGAGAGGTTTTCGTCTTTATACTCGTAGTGCAAATGCACATGCGCTTCCTTCAAGAAGTCACCACACCATTTTAATCAATTTCCACACCATTTTAATCAACTTAAAGTGACAAAATTTGGAAGAGAATTGGTCCATAGCTCTTAAGAAATCAAAATTTTTAAAAAAATGACTTCTTTGAGATGGAGAAATACGTAAAAATTACAAATAACATTAAGGGGTTCAAACTTCTGAATGCTTACCTGACCAAACTATTGGGACCCTATTTTGCTGATTACAGCACCCTACCTTTTGAAGAACAAGAATTCGAATCCGTCGAAAAAGTTTGGTTTAAGAATAAGTACCCCCCCCCCCTGTTAGATTNCGTAACTTTAAATATTGCCCTCGCTATTTAAATAGCCTATTTAATAGTAGGCTCTCAAACCCTTAAGAGTTAGAGTAGAATTAAAATATGACCATTTGATCAGAAGTTATTAAAATGTTCTTTTATTTCAAATTTCTTTCAAAGCCATTTATTTCAAATGAGTGCTCTCGTAATAAGCAAGTGGTAGAATCACCTTAAGCTCCTAATAATTATATTTTGCAGTAAAAGTGACACTATGGTGACATTAAAATTTATGCGGTTATTAAAAATAACAACTAAAGTAATCGATACAAGTTACAAACTTATTGCTTGATTTTCTAGCATAGGGTGTTCAAAAAGATTTGTTTTCTTTAGTAATTTAGTGTCGGTCTCCCAAACCTCTGAAAGCTTTAAACCTTTGCTGAAAAATAGCATAAACTAAACATCTATAAAGTTATAAAATAATCCTTTGAGTATTGCTAGAGAAATTTAGAAAAAAGTCAAAAAACTTAAAGCGTTTCTTTCATTATGATAGGGTAGTGTAGTTTAAAAAATAATATTCTTTCTCTATTTTTTTGAAATTCAATTTTAAATATTTAGGAGAATGAATAAAGTAGCTCTTACAAAGAATAATAGAATTTCTAGCAATGCTAGATATCTTTAAAAGCAGTGATCATTTATACTATTTTAAAGACGCTTTCTTAAAATTCAAATGAAAAAGCAAAAAGGAATTATAATTATCGTCCGAAAGCCGTTTATTCAGTTGTTTTAGTTTTCTAAACTCTTTGATATGGGTACAAACCTTTTTTATTCATATGAAAGTCGTTTATTCAGTTGTTTTAGTTTCTAAACTCGTTGATATGGGTACAAACCTTTTTTATTCATCTGAAAGTCGTTTATTCAGTTGTTTTAGTTTCTAAACTCTTTGATATGGGTACAAACCTTTTTTTTCATCTTAAAATCATAATTCTTTTTAATAGATTGAAATAATATTTAAACGACAGATGGTTTGATACCCCAGACCAGGTACAAATACACAACGAGTTTGCTGAAATTAAAATTTAGAAATGCATTAGTTTTATTGATGGTAGAACCTAATAAGAAAGACAAAGGTTTTGGAAACAATGGTAAAATAATATTTTTATTATCTTGCAAAAAATTCTTCGGCCTATTTAAAAAAAATAATGAAGTATTGAAGAATTAGTAATGAACTACATAAAATTGACAGCCTATTTCTTAATAATATGGATGATAATAATTATCTATGAATTGTGGGTGCATGTTTTTGAATTATATACTTTCAGCAAAAAATAATTATTAAACTGCCCAAAATGGAACCTTGCTCTGTAGTTTTATGTGAAAAACTGAAACTGTTAAGGAAAGAATAAAAACTATAACAAGCAAAAAAATATAGAGAAGAAAATTAACACTGCTTGAAAAAGAAATAATTGTTTTTGTTCTAAATATTACAACAATTCTACAACTACTGAAATGAATGTCAAATCTCATTCTAGTTAATATTTTAGATTAATTATTAGTAAAATTATAATTGATTTTTTTATATGCAATGAGCCTACATTTGGAGTTTCGAGTGAGTCGACTATTTTCAGAATTTTAGGCTCTTTAATGCTCATTGATCAGATTCTTTTGCACTTTTAGACAGTTTTTGACATGTGCTCTTCACAGCTAATTTAAGAAATCGGAAACCCTAATTCTGGTTACACTGTTAGTATTTTCTTCTAAAATTATGGTAAAATAACTGACAGCCCATCCATAAAGTTGACGGTAAGGAACATTTTTTACTTTTACGTTTTGTTGACCGTTTACAAGTGGTATGATTATAACGCCTACAAGGTTTATTTAACCATTTACGAAAAGCATGGTTTCAAAACCGTAAAAAAGGAGCTTAACTGGATATAGTTTAGCAGCTTTCTGATGTTACTGAGAGTATCGTATTCCTAGAGTCACAAATTAGGGAGTGCTGAAAATTCTTCGTGGGTTGTAGGAAATGGAAGAGTGGTGTCAATAATGGGACTCGAACCCCCGTTCATGAAATTGACAGTAATCTGTATGCATCTGGAATGAAGCGATAAAATTCTGATTGTTTAACCCTATTAGGTGAAAGCAGTGAATAAACGGTTTTTCTCACAAGTAACAGTTTGAATACCATCTTATGTACGTATGCTTGAATATGATAAAAAAGCAATTAAATAAATTGTTATTTAACCATTTTTTTTCTTGAAATTTTTAACAGTGTATGATCCTTTAAATATGTGTCATTTCTAAACAACTTTTGGATTGCAAAGGAAATGCGCCAAAATATCTAAACTAATGACCCTATGGATCCCGACCCCTAAGTTCGCAAACCCATGGGAATTGCTTTCCTTAATGGGATTCGTGCAAGTGACGTAGTGTGGGTATATCGATCCTGATTGGTTCCTGAAACGTGACATTTGTTTACGCTTGCAACTTGTTCTCTCGATTCAATTTCGAGTAAGCCAAGCCTGTCAAGTATCAATTCTCTTAAGTGACACGTTCTACATTCTTGCACAAAGATTTTTTTCGCAAAGATTTCAATTCTTTCATGATATATTTCTTACTTAACACAAAGACAGGCATGCTGCCCTGTAGAATTGTAGAACATAAACAAACTGATTATGCATCTAAGTTGCCGGGTACACAAAACGAAAATATATCACGGTTACAATAAAATACATAAACAAATAATAAATCTAAATAAAGAAAAAGACGTAGACTAGAAATAATTATATTTCAACAAATTCGATGTTAGATAGGACGCTATATTTAATCAACTTCACATTCATTAACATTCTAACTTATGTGGGAAAACTTAGCTTTTTGCTTCGCGTATTGTGATGTTCTTCTTCTTGAAGTACCCAAATGCTACAATATTTTAGGCTAACTTTGTATTTTAAAATACTGAAATTATGCAGCTTGTAAAAAGTTAGTTTTATATACATTTCAATCTATACATATGCAACTAACTTTCGAGATACATTTTTCGGGGAAAAGAACTATTTATTTAGTTAATTACTTTGTCCTTTAATTTTTAATAATTAATAGGCTAAGAACATTTATAGATTGTAATGAAAGAATTCTCTAATAATTCTGTACTTTCTTACCCATAGAGGTCCCGCAGTGGACTGATCGCTAAGACATGGTTCCCAGCAGATCACCGAAGTCCAGCATCACTGTCTGCGGTCAGTGTGCGGGTGGGTGACCACTTGGATCAGCCTGCGTAGGGACAGAGTGTGTGCGGTATTGGTCCTCGTTAAATTGTTCTACCGTAAAGTGCTCGACTTCGCGTGCAGGTCGTCGGGCTACCGAAGCGGGGGTGCCATCTCCTCCGCAGGGGATCAAAATTGTGATGGCATGTCTTCGGATTATCCTCAGGGATGTTTCCCAGACCGTCGCCAATAGCCCATGGTGCAGCTCTAGTGCGACGTAAATAAAACAACAACAATACTAATTTTTATTAAAGTATTTACAATATTTTGTTATCTATTTCGTAAATTAAAAAAAATTGCAATGAATTTTTGGAAAGAACAAAATTTTGTGTCTAAGACTAATAAACACGAAACAACTCAAACTAAGATCAGACTAAAAGCTCTGTAAAAGAAACAAATTCAAAACCAGATTAAACAAAAGTTACCCTTAAAATAATTGAGAAAGAAAAATATTCTTAAATTTCTTTAATCCACATAACTTTTTTTTTTAAATTTCATAACCGTCATTGAACAACCGACCCAATTTTTGGGTTTATGACTACTAATGTTCAACTGCGTAGTCTTGTCATTTTGAACCCAATCCAGAAGACAAGGGAACTCCTGGATCAAGTAGTGGAAGAAATTGGCCTTCGCGGAGGACTTTTTGATGGAACTAACCAAAATTTGCGTTACATGGAGAGGAAGACTACGAGAACCTTCCAAGGTCAGCTTGACGGTAAAAGGACTCTAACCACCAGCCATCGCCGGGATTCAAACCCGGTTCATCTCATTGGAAGGCATTCGCTCTTTCCCCTGAGCCATCGCGACTCCCATTGAACTTATTTTTTTTTTATATCCATCGTTGAACAACCGAACCAATTTTGGGTTTACGACTACTAATGTTCAACTCTGCAGCCTTGTCATTTTGAACCAATCCAGAAGACAAGGAGACTCCTTGACCAGAGGTATTGATTTTTTTAAGGCAGCTTGGAGGACCTTGCGACTCGACAGATTTAACGTGCATCAGTCACCATTTACTACACGGGG